TTTTTCTCCATCAGTGCCCGCAGTTCTTGGTCAAGGCACTTTGAAAAATGAAGAGGTAGACCAGAGTGGTGGGCAGCAAAGCAAGGTTTATTGAGCATAGCAAAGTAATGGTACATAGCTCCCAAGGAGGAAGGGGACCCAAAAGGGTTGCCCTAAAAGATTTTATTTATTTATTTGACAGAGAGAGAGCACAAGCAGGGGGAGCAGCAAGCAGAGCGAGAGGGAAAAGCAGGCTCCCTACTGAGCAAGGAGCCTGACATGGGGCTCAGTCCCAGGACCCTGGAATCATGACCTGAGCCAAAGGCAGATGCTTAACCGACTGAGCCACCCAGGCACTTGGTCAAAGCATAATTCTTAACTGATTAGTGTGTCTTGTATTTCAAATTGTCAATTTTTTAAAAGACTTTTTTTCAGATATCAAAACAAAATAAGCTTTTTTTTTTAGGAGAGAGGGAAGAGGAGGGGCAGAGGGAGAAAGGGAAACTCAAGCAGGCTCCATACCCACCATGGAGCCTGACGTGGGGCTTGGTCTCACAACCCTCATATCATGACCTGAGCTGACATCAAGAGTTGGACACTTAAACCGACTGAGCCACCCAGATGCCCCCAAAATAAACTTTTATAGAAAGTTTAGGAACTAAGTACAAAGAAGAAAAATAAAGCCATAATCACATCTTCAGAGAAAACCTACAATTTTTGTCCAGTCTCTTTTCTATAGATTTAAGTAATTGGAATATTTTCATTATAATTTTGTATTGTCTTTTAAATTTAGCATTTTATTACAAATGTTTTCCAAATTCATAATATGATATTTGAAACCATAATTCTTAATAGTTATACTGACATGTGTACCATCATTTGCTTAGCTATTACCTTACTGATGGGCACTGAAGTTGTTTCTAATTTTTTGCTATTGAAATATACTAAAATAGGGGCGCCTTGGTGGCTCAGTCATTAAGCATCTGCCTTCGGCTCAGGTCATGGTCTCAGGGTCCTGGGATCGAGCCCCACATCGGGCTCCCTGCTCAGCAGGAAGCCTGCTTCTCTCGCTCCCACTCCCCCTGCTTGTGTTCCCTCTCTCACTGTCTCTCTCTGTCAAATAAATAAATAAAATCTTTAAAATATATATATATACGAAAATAAACATCCTAGTACATATATACCTAAATATTAATGTTCTTAAGTCTGCTAAATTAGTTTACACTTCCATCAAGCAACCACCACCATGCCTGCAACAATGACTGTTATCATTTTTTTTAAATGGCTCAATTGATAGACCAAAAGTGTATTTAACTGTAGTTTTAATTTACATATCTTTGCCTTTTGTTGAGGTCGAATTCCTTTTATATTTATTATCTATCTTTAGTCTTTTACGAATTCTTAGTAGTGCTGAATTCAATGTTACTCCAGTTCTAAAAAAAATCTAAGAAAAATCAATTTAAACTAAGAAGTGGGGCATTTATCTGTAGGCTATCAGGGTCATTTACCCACAAACTAGTTAGACCTGGACTTTTTCTTACTGTCCACTCTTGTAATGTTCACCAATAAGAAAAAGTTTAGGTATATGATCTTTGCCATAAAGTCTGTGTTGACTGAGCAGAATGGACATGACGACCTGCCTGAACATGAAATTACTATAGATTTTCATTCATACAAAAAATCATTTCTACACATCCCACAAATACTTGTATTTTAGCTTATTTACAATGTAAACATTCCATTCATGTGTTTTTAATGTCTGTCCATCTATTAATGATGTATGTGTCCCTGAAAATTTTCATTACTTAATCTTTTTTTACACTGTAATAGAAGACTTCCCACCGGGGCACCTGGGTGGCTCAGTCATTAAACGTCTGCCTTCGGCTCAGGTCATGGTCCCGGGGTCCTGGGATCGAGCCCCGCATCGGGCTCCCTGCTCAGCGGAGAGCCTGCTTCTCCCTCTCCCACTCCCCCTGCTTGTGTTCCCTCTCTCGCTGTCTCTCTCTCTGTCAAATAAATAAATAAAATCTTTAAAAAAAAAAAATAGAAGACTTCACCTCCCAACTTCATTTATTGTACTTCAAATGTCATCATTTGGGAATCATCCCTCTTAATCTTGAATGGGCATTTTTGTTTAAAAGGAATCTTCTCATTAAAATGGGATGGGGTGGGGGGCCTGGATGGCTCAGTTGAACGTCCAAGTCTTGATTTCGGCTTAGATCATGATCTCAGGGTCATGAGATCGAGCCAGAGTGTCACGCTCCACGCTGGTGTAGGGCCTGCTTATGATTCTCTCTCTCCCTCTCCCTATGCCCCCCACCCTGCCCAGGCTGATGCCCGCTCATTCTCTCTCTAGAAAAAAAAATTTTTTTTTAATTTAAAAGTGGGATGGGCTAACTCTTTAGATACTAGCAAATACTGCATAAAGAATGAGTTGATTGCTAGATAAAAGCAAAATTCTATAGATAGGAATATTAAAACAGGAGATGGAAGAATACAAAAAAATAACATCTGACAACCACAAAACTGCCTGAGGCATAAGGACTGGTAATTATTTAAGAGTGCTCCACATGGTGTCCATTCTGATCCCTAATGACATATCTAGTCAAAGAGATACCATTTGTCTTCTCCATGCCACACAAGCAAGAAGGGAGATTAGGGGACACCTGGGTGGCTCAGTTGGTTAAGCGGCTGCCTTCAGCTCAGGTCATGATCCCAGGGTTCTGGGATCGATTCCCGCATCTGGCTCCTTGCTCAGTGGGGAGCCTGCTTCTCCCTCTGCCTGCCCCTCCCCCTGCTTGTGCTCTCTCTCTGCCTCTCTCTTTCTGAAAAATAAATAAATCAATCATTAAAAAAAAAAGGAAGGAAGGAAGATTGGGCCATCTGGCTCAGAGAAGTTTCTCGGGTTTTGCTTTGCTTTCCTTCCTTAGAAAGGACTTTATCATCCAGGGCTTTTCTAAGAGAGTGAAGCTTTGAAACTGACCTAAAAAATCATGGTCTCTCATCTGAGGAAAATCCAGAAGGCAAGAGAATTTACTCACAAAATTACCAGCATACGTCTGCAATCATTCTGGAATTACTGCTAACAACAGCTGAGAAGGTTATGGTGACCCCTTCCCTGGGTTTGACAGGTGTGAGGAAGCTCCAGGGCAGAAGCAGAGCTGGGATAATGAGTCAATGGCTAGTAAGAAAGGTGCATGACAGAGCAGGGAGAAGCAAAGGTTCCGAAAGAATGCAGCCCCAGACCATGAAGATGCTGTGGGCGTGGGAGGGCTGCGCAGCAGGTGGAGCTTGGCAGGTGAGTTCTCCAGAGGGAAACAGCCATGCAGGTGCCAGCCTGACTTGTGACCCACAAATCACAGGTTTGGCAAAACTAGAAAGACATCAATTCTTTTTTACATCCAATTTTACTATCATTACATGACTGAGGTTGGAATTCTGTGTTCCAAAACAGTCTGAAAAACTCCTATTTTAAATTAAAAAAAAAAAATCAATTCATAACCAAGAAGGGGCTTATTATTTTCCTGGCACCAGATTCTGAAAGAGCTACTTGGGAATACTACACATAGTAGTAAGTGCTCCTTTACTTTGTTAGGGGCAATTTGCAAACCTGGCCATTATAGAAGTAGTTGCAAGGAGAAACACAAACCTGGAAGTCAAAAGTAATCAGAAGTGCAAATCCACAGCCATAGTCTTAGTCTGATACTTCTCTCCCACCCAACTTCCCTTCTGATAATCAATTTTTCTATTACCAGTTTTACAGATTTCTTTCTGATCCTGACCACACCCAATCAAAATTGTAGGATAGTCACTGGAAACCTGTTTATTAGAACAAAAACATGGATTTATTGAACACTTACTATGTATCAAACACTGCTGCAAATGCTTTATAGGAATTATCTCAATCTTCAAAACATCACTCTAAAGTAAGATAATAATCATAGCATATCACTTCACAGATGAGGAAACTGAGGCAGAGAGAGACTGAGGCTCAGGTTATGGATTCAGTTCCAAGGAGGAGAGTTATTATAGTCTGTCCAATGGTCAAGACAACCCTTCTAACCAGAGCCAGCCACATTTCAGATGCATGCACTTAGTCACAAGGAACAAGATGACCAGTTCAGTGAAAAGCCTTTCCCATTATTGAGAGATTTCCAGGTGCATGACCTACTGCTGATGGTCAGTGCATGTGAAGGGCAATACACAATACTCCAGATCTGTCTGTGACTTCTGGAGCATAGTTCATACTTCATTATTCAAAAGAGATGAGCAATATACAAAATCCCACTCTAAACTAACTCTTTTTTTTTTTTTTTTAAAGTAAGTTCCATGCCCAGCGTGGAGCCCAACTCGGGGCTTGAACTCACTACGCTGAGATCAAGATCTGAGCACAGATCAAAAGTCAGATGCTTGACCAACTAAGCCACCCAGGTGCCCCTAAACTAACTCAAGTTGAGAAAAGATTCAGCAGAAATATGGGTGAGAATTAGAAACAAAAAGGTTAACTCTCCCTTCAAATCTGTAAGAATTTGGACAAAACTTGAAAAGAGTAGAGACAAATACCGTTACTAGTAAAAATTAGGTAAAGCACAGAAGAGTTTTTGAGGTTAAAAATGTAACATCCTCAATCAAAACTATCAATAAGAAGCCTCTTTGTCCTGAGTTTAATACAAAATAATTTGCAGCAAACACACCCTTTCTGTCATGGCTTTCCCCTTCCTTGCAGGAGCTGCTCAATTTGAATCACACTGAAGCCAACAGTGTATAAACATACTTCCCTCGGACTGCTGCGAGTGAGTACTCCCATGAAGACCAACTGCATGCAATCCTAAAACTTTCATATCCACTAGAGGCTGTAATTTTGAAATCTTCAAAGTCTAACTTTGTGGTAGTCTCCAAAGATGGTTACCAGTGATTGCTCCCAACACAAATGTCTTTTCTCCCATCAAGAGATGAAGTCCACTCCCTTTCCCCTGAGTCTGGGCTGGCCTTGTAATTTGCTATGACACAGAATATGGCAGAACTGACAAGGTGCTGGTTCTGGGCCCCATAAGCCCTGGCATCTTTTGCTCTTACACTCTCAGAACCCATTCACCATCCTGCTGAACAGAGAAGTCGCTCAGAGAGGCCCTAGGTCCTCTTCCTTGGGCTGGGATGCAGCGAAGTGCTCCAACCAACCCCATGTGCAGCAGCAGAACTGCCCAGTCAAAATTCAAAGAGTTGTGAACATGAGTAAATTGCTATGGTTTGAAACCACTGAAATTTGGGATGCTTTGTTACACAGCAGCCAAAAATCTAGAACAACCTCTATCCTGCTATACAGTGGCCATACTGCTCCATCAATGGTCTGCAGGCTAACGTTAGCTACAGAGAGAAACAGACTGGAGAACTGCAGTATAAAATGCCCCGATGGGAGGAACTAGAGTACGGGGCTCCGAGCAGACCAGCCTCAGTTAGAATACTGGTTCAGCCACTTGCACGCTGTGACCTTGGATAAGTTAACTTAGGGTTCTTGTATGTATGATTCCAACTATATGACATTTTTCCTTAAAATGAACAGAATGAGATGGCAGAAACTTTTCATTCCTGAGTAAAACTAAGACAAGAAAGGAAAGAATCATTCAATTTTCTTTGGCTGTTCTAACAGAAGCAGTCTATTTCTGACTTGGCCACTTTCTCAGAATACGATATAAAAATAGAAGAGTTATGACTGAATTACGCATTAGCGAAACTAGTACCATATTTGAAAAGAAGATCTGAGAATTGGTTTGGGAACAATCTAACTTAAAGTCACTGTACTCTTGCAGTTATGGTAATGTGCCATTTTGGTTTCATACCACATAATACAAACACTAAGGCAGATTTATAAGCTACTTTTCTTGCATTTTTGTGGACAAAAATCACATTGGTAAAAACTGTCATCAGGGGCAGCAGTTTTGCTAACTCTTGGGCATTGGTGATTTATACTATTCAAGGACAAAAGGCTTACTATTAAAAACAATTTACCTCAGTCTGAAATAAATGCATGACAAGCTATGTTTTTTTGTTAATAGGGTATGTTAAGATGAAAAAGGGAATTACAAAAGGAAAATCTGGTCATCAAAATTACATTAAAAATTAAAATGTCTACTGAAAAATATCTATAATAAATACGCATGTACATATAAGAAAATACATGTAATAATTAATAAGCTAATTAAGCACCCATTGGTCATTTATGAAATATGAAGAGTTTGAAACAACTGCTACATTTATGGGCAAATGAGGCCTGTTAATAATAGCATGGTCACATCCTACTTGCAGTGATAGCTATCTAAAATGTACCTCTGTCCTCAAGGGCATATCTTCAGTTTCTGCAATTTCAGAACTAAAGGTGTATTCAGACTCATTGCTGCTGTGGGTGGAGTCTGTTCTCTTGTGTCCAGGCTTAGGCACATTCTGCAAGGCAGATAAACCAAATATAATTAACACAATATAATTAAACCAGTTATAGTTAAGACAGCATCCACCTTAACTTGGTTCTAACCCCCACTCACTAACTTGCTGTTTTCATGCCCAAATAGTCTGTTCCATGTTGTCCTTAATAAACCCTTATGAAAGGGTCACTTTCTGAGCTCCTCAAAGAAAAAGATGCACCAGTAGGGCATGACAAGAAAAGTCACAAAACCAAATGCTCAAACAAAAATCATCTGTGATTATTAGAAGAATCCCCTTTGGGTTTTTCTTTTCTTTAAGATTTTATTTATTTATTTGAGAGAGACAGAGACAGAGGCAGAGAGCATGAGCAGGGGGAGGGGCAGAAGGAGAGGGACAAGCAGACTCCCCACTGAGCAGGGAGCCTGATGCGGGGCTCAATCCCAGGACCTTGAGATCAAGACCTGAGCCCAAGTCAGATACTTAACCAGCTGAGTCACCTGGGCGCACCGCCCCCCGCCCCCGCCTTTGGGTTTTTGAAGTTGTGAGTGGCCAGTCACAATGGGTGAAGTGTAAGTATAATGCCTCAGCAACCAAATATTGACTTCAGCGTTGCAATGAAATAAAACTTAGTAAAAAGTTCATGAGATATGTTTAATGATAGCATAATCATTTTACTGTACTGTATTTGAGCATAAATGGAAAAAAAGAGAGGAGTTCTACATCAGTGACTATAATTTCTGTCACTTTTGTGCATGAAGTTGAATCCCTGGAGTCAGCAGTGGGAAGGATGAGCCATCTGACGTCCTGGGGTTATTAATTCAGGGAATCCAGGTGACATTTCTATGACATGTGGTATTATGAAACTAACGTTCAGAAAGCTTATGGAAAACAGAGAAGTTAAACAACTGCAGTCTGTTCCTCTCTGCAGGAGAGTGACTTGAAGAAAGAAGTAATAAAAAGGCTGGATTTTGTGCCCCTCACTCCTAGGGTAGCCCCCTGCAGAAGAGGTGGAAAGGGTCAGTGGCCTGCATCTCACAGGGTTACTGGCTCTCAGAGCTTTAGAAAGACCTTTGGAAGCTTTTCTGGTCTGTTCAATTTCCTTTACTCCTCCCCCCAGCTGCAGGAAGAGCCAGAAGTCACAAAGAGCTTCTCTGCCTCTTTCCCTCCCATATCCATCTTACAGAGAGCAGACCCATCCATACGACCAAAGGAAAGCCAGCATCCAGGGGCAGATGAAAGTCTCCCAGGCCACCCCAACCTGTACTCCAGTGCATAAGGAAGACCCAAGAACACCAGAACTTCTGAAACTATCTAGCAGCTAGGGTACACACTAAAGGGGAGAATCACCCCACGTAAAGCAAAGGCACTCAGATTTACTGTTTACGTACACAGGCAACCTCATGTGAAGTTCCTGGCCCCAACCAACAGTTATATGGGAAGGTGTTTATTAATAAACTGGTCCTATCATTAAGAGAAACAGGTAGGTCCACAGAAATACCTGGACAAAGGTCTTTTTTTTTTTTTTAAAGATTTTATTTATTTATTTGAGACAGAGAGCACATGAGAGGGGGGAGGGTCAGAGGGAGAAGCAGGCTCCCTGCTGAGCAGGGAGCCCGATGAGGGACTCGATCCCGGGACTCCGGGATCATGACCTGAGCCGAAGGCAGTCGCTTAACCAACTGAGCCACCCC